TAATTCTACATCTTCCCCAAGTAAATTGGCCAAATTAAAGTTACATTTGAAAATTTGATATTATTTATCCCAAGCTGTTCTCAGCTTTGTACACTGAGTTTCCTACCAGTGTAGATAGATAAATATACAACCCTTTTACAGTATTATTAAGAGCATCATGAAAAGCAGCCTTTGTGTTGATAAATCTGAGAGTTAATATCAAACCCACTATTATAAGAGTTATGCTTAGCCACAAGATGCCATCTTTCATGTACAATGAAAGATGCATTTCTCATGAATAAACAAAATGTGGAATGTTCACTGGCTGAAGCTACAGAAGATAACTGTGTTTTACTTGTAAGAACAACACTTATTAAGAAGGATATGACACATTAAGCCTTGCAAATTCATCTTTCTGCATTTAGTGCAACAAGTCTGAAAAATCCCTCTTACCCTATAGAGATCCATAATTTGTGAAGCTGTGTACTCCTGGGATTGATTCAAGGGCTTGAATTTAATTTCAGAAGGTGCTTTAGCTGTATAAGTAAATGGACCAGAGACGGTGTCCAAGTCATGGGTACCTATTGCTACTAATGCTCTTCTCCTAGAAAGAAAGAAGGCAAAATAATGATTTTACTAGTAATATTTGGAGTTCCTTTAAAATAATATCCCATGATGCTCTATAATTCTATGCATTCATAGAACTTACTGAAGAAGTCAAAGGGCAAGTTTGAGAAGCCCAGAAATTATTTTCATGAATAACATTTTAATAAATATTAACAACACACCTAACAGTCAAAGGCAAATCCAGTTGGACTGTCACAAAACGGTTCTTTCTCAACTGTTGTAAAGGCTGTAACAGCTATTTATGTTGAAAAGCATTGAGAGCAGGCAGAAAACAGGCAAGGAAATTAGAAGGATCAAGAGAGCTGCTATAAAAGATTTTCCTTAGCATAAATATAATGCCTCTCTCCAATAGGGATGTGCAGTCTTAACATGTGATAAAATCGTACACATAGACACTATACACTACTTTGAACTTAAGGACTAACCTGCAAATATTTTGGTGTAGTTTTTCTTGGAGATCAATGAAACTATCGTAACGATCCTTGGTAAAAGTTATATTACGAAGGACTGCAGCTACAGCATGAGGACGTATGTGGACAGTCTGCAATATGCAACAGCAACACATTGTAAATTTCAAGTACACATAATATACGACACTGAAACTGATTAAATGTGCACTTTTCTTCATAAAATCCTCTTTTGTAAAGTAGTAATTAAAAGGAAAATTAATGGAAAGACATCAGAATCCCCAAGGGAAAAAAACAAACTCACTCCAGGTCTGCTAGAGACAAGGTTTCCAATATACTGTGTAATGGCCCAGCAGGTCAATGCAATGTGAACATCTGAAATTTTGATTTGATCTGCTACTAGGTTCACACAAAATAATTTGTCTATTGTTTGTCCCCCTCACCTTCCCTAAAAATAAAAAACGAGTAGAGATATTTAAATTTCTTTAGCTCTTGTTCTGCAAATAAGATTTCCAGTCTCACTACTCTTATAAAATTGGTACTGATATCTATCTTTCTAGTTCAGAAACTCTTCAATAATTTTACAATGGTGCAGTAAACACTTTTACCTCTTCAGTGATAATCAGCCTCTGACCTTCACCCTGAGCTGGTATTATCTTTTCGTACCTGGGGAGATTTATCCTAGAATAAAACAAGAAATAAGTCTGTAACTGAAAAAAAAAAAAAAAAAAAGAAACTTCCCCAAATGCAGGAAACTTCAGAAATGTAGCAACATTTATATGTAGGAAAGTTTCTTGGTAACATTTCTTGGCATGTAAATTAGCTAACTGTTTAGAACTTGTTTTCTATAGGATAGTAAACATATTACTGAACTAGAAAGGAAGGACTCAAGAAGATAAAGTCACAGCAGAAAAGTGAAATATATCATTTGTTTTGGTATTTTTTGCAGAGAATCACAAGGAACTCTGCAGGAGTCTCAAACGGAACAGCAGTTGAAAATTTTTTAGAACAGATCCAAAACCCAGTAACATTCTAGTCTTTTAGAAATATACGATAGATCCTCTCCAGAAGAACATCTGACAAATCTGACCTACACATGAGATCATACTCGAAATCCAAGCAAGTGGCATGTTTGTTTACTGACCAGAAACGGACTTGTATTTAAACAAACAACAAACCACTCAAACACCTCACAGCTCTGCATTACCTTTCTTTAAAGACCTGCAGTCCTCGGACCAACCCCTCGAGGCAAAGAAGATCATAACGGTTGGCAGGAACATCAATTTTATATAGAACGGTGTCAGATGCACCCTTTGCCTTTTCTTCACCTTTTTCTTTACTTATAATGTCTTTCTCAGATGTCTGAAATTAAGCAAAAATATGATTTTTAACATGAAATATCTTAACATTGGCAGGAGTATGATAGTGAGATAATATGAAAAATTGTATTAATTAGAAATTTAACAGTGTAATTTGGTTTTATACAGCAAATGTACGCACCAAATACCAAAAATGACATATAATCTAAGTCCTTCTCAGATTCAGAGATTGTAATGCAGTATACAGACAAAAAAACAAAACCAAACCAAACCAAAACAAAAAAAAAAAAGATCGCTATTAGGATTTGAATTGTAAAAAAATAGATTACAGAAGCACAAGTCTCCCGGTTAGCAGATCCCAGTAAAGAAACAAGACCTTATTTTTGGCAATAGATTGGCAAATGATTTGTCATATCAAGTCTATTCTGAAATAAAGGATAACATATGATGTTCACATATCTTTTGACAAGCATAATTGGAAGTTTGATTAATTCAAATTAAAGAGCAAAACAAAAACAGGTCTACTTGAACAAGATTTACGTGGCTACAGTTAACAGTTCTAGCAAATTTTCATAAGTACAGAATCTAAATCAAAACCTTAAAGTAGTTATAACTTTGGTAACAATGCCCAGGACAATTACATTTTTCTGGATATTGCACAGAAGAATGCATATAAAATAAAGCCAAACAGATCTTGTAAAATACATTCAATACGTGATCTGTGGCCGTATTTACGCTGCTAAATAAAATGGGGTCAGAGACTGAAGACCAGGTGGCACAGACTCCCGACCTCCATGAAGTATAGCAATATGCTATCTTGGGGTCTCTTGCTTCCAAGACAGTAATTTTTCTATGTCTTTTTTTTTTTTTTTCAGAATCAGAACACCTGGGTTAATACAGTCTATTACAACAGTATTTTAGAACAAGAACCTAAAGGTACGTGTTAGATACTCTGCGCTGTGGTATGGAGATGTATGAGGATGTTTCAGGATGGAAAGCCTGCTGCAGTACTGCTGAAAGACCATATAGGTCTAGGGGACCCTCAAGTCTTGTCCACATGGCTTTTTGAGGATACCTGGGGCATGGTATCCTCCAGACTTTGCCTAGACATTGTCTTGGTACAAGCTAGAGGGCATCGGCCAACACTGTACCAGGGCATATGCTGGAAATAATGCAGTACAAACTCTTATCAAATCTGATTGCTGTCAGTACACCACATCTACCGAAAAAGTAACAAACACTACTTACAATTTCATCAAGCTCAAGACCAAACTCAAAGCAAAGCTCATTAAATTCTTCATCGGCTGTGAAGGAAGAAGGTGAATTTTGATTAATATGCAGACCTCAGACTTTTAAAGAATTTTTTTGTGTTTGTTCTGAATGTTTTCAAACCAAATACCTAATGCTGTTTTGAAAAAAAAAAGGTAATTTAAAGAATTTTACTTATATTTGCATCCAAGTAGCCGTTTCTTTAGTACATATTGCATTTACTGATGTGTTACTCTTACAGTCCCAGCAAGGGCTTCTCAGCCTCGGGGCCTAGCTCCACTTCCAGCTCCTCAGCCATATCTGTCAGGGTGTAACTCTGGCCTGAACAGATAACGAACACAGGAGGGAGTAACTGGACAGGTTCTGTCAACAGCTACTTTTTTCATCAGTCAGCTTGTCATACAGAGGTTGCATCGACTGTGTTATGACATGTGAGTAACACAACCCTGATCTGGAAATGGACATTTGCACCCGTGTGTCTTAAGAGCCTACCAACTCCAGCATGGGCTAAATAAACTGCTGCATGTCCGTAAACGCGCTTTCAGCCAGGTAAAAAATTCTTAAGTCACGTTTCCGAAGAGCTGGGGAAGAGGGACCAAGTGAAAAGCCGATATTGCTTGCTTTGCCTGTTCCCACCTCTTCCCTCTCCTCTTTGATTCAACCAGTTCCCAGAGCAGACTGTGCAGCTCCAACCAGCAGCCGCGATTTGCAAACGCGCGGTCCCGATCCCCGGGGCGCCGTGGACTCGGACAGCACGCCGCGGGCCGAAAGGCCGGGGGGATCCAGGGCGACCACGCGGCTTGGCCTGGCACGCCGTGGGCGTGTGAGCAGCTGAGGGCCGCGCAGCCCGCGCCTTCCCCCGCGGGCTAGTTCAGCTCAGCTCCGCGGACACGGGGTGAGCAACGAGCGCGGCGGGGCTGCGGGCGGGGGGGCTGGCCCCTCGCCGCTCCGCGGGGCTGCGGCCGGGGCGGGGGGCAGCCGGCGGAAGGCTCCGCGGCCGATCGCAGCGCGGCCGGGGGGCGCCGGGCCACCGGGACACTCACTGTAGCTCCTGCCCAGCGCCTGGAAGAGCAGGTCCCGCTTCACGCTGACAGTCGGCATGGCGGCGCCCGGCTCGCCCGCCCCGCGCCTGCGCGCCCGCCCGCCAGGCCCCCGCCCGCCAGGCCCCCGCCGCGCCGCCTGAGCGCCGCCCGCCCTGCCCGCGGCCCAAGCCCGCCGCCCGCCTCGCTGCCCGGCGCGGCGGTGCGGAGGCGGCCCGGCCCCCGCGCCCGCGGAGCGGAGCGCGCCCGGCCCCCGCGCCCGCGGAGCGGGCGGGCAGCGCGCCGAGCACCGGCGGCGCGGCGGGCAGCTACGGCGGTGACATCAGCGGCGGCGCTCGGGGCCGGGCGGGGGTGCGGGTGCCGCTGTGCCCCAGGGAAGCGGGGGCAGCGCTCCTGCAGGTCTCGGGGCGCTTTGTTTGCTTTTGTTTCATACTCGATTTTTTTTTTTCTTTTTTTTCCCTGACATGTCGCTGGCACCCCCGGCGAAGTGCCGGGGGGCGGGAGGAGGTTGTGCGTGTGCCAGTTTAATTAGAAGCGAGCGAGTGAAACCCCAGCGCCATGGGGATTTTAAGTTTTTGGCCGACTTCCATAAAGTCGGAGGAGGCGAGCGCGGGGCTGGGCCGGGGCTCTTACCGCCTGTTTGCTCCGGGGCAGCGGGAGACGCGGCGGGCGGTTCGGTGGGTGACACGGGGCGGGTGTGGGTGACACGGGGCGGTGCGGTGGGTGAGACGGGGCGGGTGTGGGTGACACGGGGCGGTTCGGTGGGTGACACGGGGCGGGTGTGGGTGACACGGGGCGGTGCGGTGGGTGACACGGGGCGGGTGTATGTAGGTGACACGGGGCGGTGCGGTGAGTGAGACGGGGCGGGTGTATGTAGGTGACACGGGGCGGTGCGGTGGGTGACAAGGGGCGGTTCGGTGTGGCGGCGCGCCCCGCCCGCAGCCGCGCCCGGGCGCTGCCCTCTCCTGGGTCAGGATCGGGTTTCCCGCGGGGCGCGGGGGAGGAAGGTGCCCCGGGCCCGGGGCGGGCTGCGCCGGGGCGGCCGCTTCCCCGTCCCCGCCCGCCGGGGCCGCGCCCGGGCCCCGCTGCCGCCCCGCGGCCGTGGGCAGCGCCGGCGGCGGGAGGGGGCGCGGCCGTGCGCCACACGGCGGGGCCGCGGCGGCAGGTGCGGCGGGCCGGGACCGGGGCCGGGGCCGGGGCAGGGGCAGGGGCAGGGGCCGGCGCGTCTGCGCCCCCCCGCGCCGCTCTCCCGCCGGCAGCATGAAGGTCGAGTTTGCCCCCATCAACGTCCCCCTAAGGAGGAGGATGCAGACCGTCGCCGTGCTGCAGTGGATCTTCTCCTTCCTCCTGCTGGGTAACAGCCTTCCTCCTTCCTGCCCTTGCCCCAGAGAGGAAAGGGAGAGAATCGCCTTTTTCCTTAACCAGCGTCACCCGTGGGCATCGGTCTGGCTCACCCCGAGGTTCCACGTGGGAGGAGAGCCGGCCGGGCGGCCAGCGGCTCCCTGGCTTTCCCTGGGTGGGCAAGAGCATCGCACTTCTGGGCTTGGGCTTTCTCTTCCCTGAAAGCTCTGGATGGCTTTTTCTCTGTTTTGGGGTCTAGTTCTTTCTATGAGTTCTTTTTCAAATATGATCTTAAAAAGCAGAGCCAGTGAGCGCGGCTTCGCATTGAGATGCCCGCTGGGTTTCTGACAACTAACAACTTTTTTTCGAGCGTGAGCATAAAGGCTGGAACATGACTAATACTGTTTTCATTACTGATTTTGTAACTTTACTGTAGTTCAATAAAATTCTCATTTAACAATGTGATGAAAATTAATAAGGATTGACAGTGAACTGGCTTAGATGCAACCACAGCCATAAGCTTATGAAAAATGTGCTTACTTGCTTTAAGAAAGCGTTCCTAACTATTTTACTTGGTAAAATTTTTCCTCTGATTTTTCCTCTATTGTGAATTTTCTGAATAGCTTAATAGACTCCTATCACTAAACACCTATTCACAGCAGCAGATCTTATGGGTACTTATCTTCAACTTGGTAAAATGAGTCACTTGGTAAGGTGAACTGAGCCTTAACTCTCTGAGACCAGATCCATGGATTGTGTAAATTGGGAAGTGGTTATTGAATAGTCCATGTGGAACAAAACTGGTCTGAGGTATAGAACAACTGACTACCTGTGTGTTACTGGAAATGTTGGACTGCTTTATGATCGTGCACACTTTATGGTTTACAAAGAGAAGAGGAATACATGCGTATCTTCCTTGTATATCTGGTATCATTCAGGTGGTGGTCTGATGTCTTTCAGATGATTTTCTTTTAGGTTGTTAGACCACACATAAAAGATTTGGGTATGTGGGGAAGCACGGAGGGTATGAAGCACCTTCACAGATTTATCCTTAGCACTTGGCTGTTTTGTTACCTCTAAATTATATGTGGTTGGAATATAAACAGTTTATGTTTGTGGCTACATTGTAAATATCCTGTGCTTTTAATTTTCTATCATTGAATTAGCTCTTGGCATATGCCATTATTCCAGTCTAATGATAATGCGGTGGAAGTTCAGTGGCAGTGGAAGGAAACAATTTTTTATCCTAGCCTGGTTGGTAACCACACTGCTGCAGAAAATCACATCCTTCTATGCTTCCTAGAAGTGATCAGGCTGCAGAAAATCCACTCTTGCTGCAGTTTAGTGGGAGAAGTAGGCAGCTATCTTCTGCAGCTGGAGCTGCCTGGGAATAAATGTCAAAGAAAATCAACAAGGAAGTGTTCTTATGGCTGGTTACGTTGAATATAGTAAGTGCACATGATCATGAAAAAATCTGTTTGCAGGAATGCTTGTTTTTTGGTGGGCAAATTGATTCTAATAATAATCATCTGCTTGTGCTTTCATGGGGATGTTTATCTTTAGAGCTATCCAAGGTGACCTTGTCATTTGGTAGGCGTAACCTTTCAGTCATAGGACAGTTGGAGTGATCTGGCCAAAAAGTTTCACTTAGCTCCAGGAAAGTTCAGATGGCTGAATCCTAAATGAGTTAAAGAAGTGAAAAATGGGTTGGTTTCCGACGTTCTGGATTGCTCTTATGTCTGGATTTTTCAGCCTTTATTTTTTTTGTCTGCTGAGCGGACAAAATATGGAAACATTTTTTGTCTCCAAGTTCTTGAATTCAAAAGTGACACTTTCAAATCATGCAGGGGATGCCCCAGTGCAAGTGAAATACTGTGTGAATTCATCACAGATAGGTAGGAGGGGTAGGTTGTGTTTGGGGGTTGGTATATGGCTGGAACTGGTTTATACCAAGCAAGATCTTCTGTAGATTTAGTCTTATGTAAAAATATATGCATGTGAAAATATGAACTGATAACACCATAAGGTAACTAATGATTCGTATTGTAGATACAGAGCTTCTGTTTAGAGCAGTGAATAAATAAATAGGATATTGGCTTTGTTCTTAGTCATCCATCTAGGTATGTGGTGAGGTGCCATAGCTTAATAAAATGGACCAATAGGATTAACAGATCAAGTAAGATAACTGTAAAAACTAGTGCCCTGAAAGACAAAAGCTGAATCAGGTAATGATATCCTTTAAATCTGGGAAGTGACATGTGAAAAGATGATATGGCACCCAGAGTAAGCCGTAAAGGGAACATGAGTCTATTACAATTTAGAATCCATAATGTGACTTGGATAGAAGACACTGAAAATCAAACATTGGTTTTATCTTCCTGGCTGAGACCCTTAAGAGTAGCTGAATTTAATGTAAAAGGTACATTGTGTTGGTCTTCAGCCCTTGCTCTCCAGGCTTGCTTTGTTGTAATGCAGTGTGGTTTTCTGAGACCGTGGAATTGGTGATTGAAAATGCCACCTTGCTTCTGTGATTAAAGGCTAGTCACAAGTTGGCTTGAAAGACATATATGCAATAGTTGTTGAAGACTGTGAATCGCATCACCATTTGTAGAAAGAGCAAATCAGTCAACAAATACTGAACAAATAGCTGCAGTAGCAGGGTACAAACAATAAAGTTCTGCTTCTTCACACAGTGTACTGGCTTGGGCTGGGTCAGCACTACAGATACATTGCTTCTGCTGTAGAGTGTAGGCAGAATAAACATGCCTCTGCTTCAAAGAAGTTGTACAGATGTGCACAGAATTTCATTACGTACAAAAGGAACCTCTTTAAAATTCTGGGTGTAAGTTCCTGTGCTTCCCTGCTCTGTACTGCGAGCTGCCAAAGTTCTCTCTGAAGCAGAAAAGACGAGTTTTCATTGGAGAAGTGGTTCTTCTGTTACTTATCCAGGGGCATGACACCAGAAGCAAAAATAAGTTTTGAAATACTGTGATCTGTATCTAAGAGCTTCTGGATGAGATGAGAGAAATGCCCATCTACCAGTTTCCCACTGTGTGCCAGCTGAAACTGCCATATGGTTTCCTATCTTACATGCTCTAAGCGTAGCAGGCTAAAATAGTTTAGGTAAAGTTCCATGAAAACAAAAAGTGTTTTAAATGGGCTTCCTTCTTTTAAAAGAAGAGTGTTTGTTATCAGCTTGGAGTCTAGAAAACTAAAGCTATGAAAACTGAAAACCAGGAAACAATAAAATTATGATATTTCTTGCTATATTAAGCAGAAATCCAAAATGGCTTCAGGCTGAAGCATACTTTCAAGTCATTAGTGTTTTGGTGCTGAAACAGCAAATATATGAAGTTTTGCAATTTCAGAGCACCTCCTTTGGAAAAAAAAGGCTGAAACAGACAATTCTGATAGATATAGTTTTAAGCCTGCAATTACTGTTATTGGAGGTTCATTGGCCTGGCCAGGGGCTGACAGTCCCAGGACGGGTCTGGCCCCATCCCAAGCTCGTGCAGCACCCACATCATGTCTGCTGTGTGCTGATACCTGCTTGTGATCTCTCTGTGCTGTCGTCCGGCCCAACCCCAGGCAGAAAGTCACCTGGAGAAATGAAATCTCCGAGCCTGTAAGTGCTGCTGGACTGACTGGGGGCAAGAGCAAAGAAGTTACACTGCTCCCATTTTTGTACTGTAGGTTTCACACTACATATTCACACAAAATAGTCACTGTCAATGAATGCAATCGATGTCCCTGGTGTTTAGGATGAAATCTTTGTTTTTGTGCTTGGAAATATTTTTCTTAAGACCTTTGACTGATGTAAGTTTGCTGCAGTTAATCGTTAGTCTGATATACTACTGTTAGGAAGTGGTGTTTTCTGTTCCTGGCACCGTAACCGAGCAGCGATTTACCCATGGTGTGTAAGCGTGTGGCAGGGGTGAGCTGTGTGCCTCAGTACTGCACCGCTGCGAGTGAGGAGCAACGTGTCCCAGGAGGTGATCACTACCTAGGCAGGAGGTTAGATAAAAGGGCTCTTTTAAAGGCAAACCAATTTTAAACAAAGAAAAATCAATGACGTTTGGTTTCAGTGGTGCTTTGCAGGCGCTTTAGCCTTTTGGTTTTCTTCCTCTCCAGTGTACACAAATCAAATGACAGCATTTTGGAGAAAATAAGGCTAGAAGGTGAGTCGGTGAGCTTCTCCTCTACCAACTTCTGTGTGTGTGACGTAAAAAGAGACAGTGGAATTTGAGCATGTACAAAATCAAATGCACAACTAGGTAACTTGGGTGGAGTGGTGGAGTCTTGGTCCAGACAATGAGAGAGAGCTTAACCCTGTGACAAGGACACCAGGATTTTGTTTTGAGACAAAGTGGTGGTAGGGGGAGAATGGTGCATCTTCTATGGCTCACTTTCTGGGCCCATCAGTGACACGCTGGTCTTCTCCTTACTGGGGACCTAGGAAGTGACTGTTGTGCATACACCCCTGTGTTTATGTGCAAAATACTTAATAATACAAAACCAGTACATAATAAAAGGTATACTTGAGTATGCACGAAGCCACAAAATAATATGCTAAAGACATTGGTGTCTATTAAAGTATGTCCTGTTCTTTAGTGATTAAACTTCTGTGTATGTAGGATGAAGCACCCTGTTAATTGAACTTGGCTGGAGACAGTTTTGAGTTGTGGATCTGGCTTCCTCAAAAGAATAGAAATGATGAAACATTTGCCACAGAGTGAAATATTGCTGCTGGAATAATAAGTGATTTACGTGTTGAGAAAGCTGGTGTCAGTGTAATGTGCTGAAGCAAAAAATAACTTTTTCCCCAAACATGTAATGATGTTTTGTTATTTGATGCTGATTTAATTCATCAGCTGTAGCTGGCTGACTAAAACGGCCTCATTCTTCCTCAAAGCCTTGTTTAGAAAACTTTTTTTTGATATATAAGAAAACTCAGCTAAGCTCTATGAGCCTTCCCTAGCAAGCTAGCTGGTATTGCTACTTGTTTTCGTCAGTCTGTATTCATCTATCCCTGAAGCTTATTGCTGGCCCATGAGTAGGGACTGATGAGAGGATAACAGGGTACTTACTGATGCTTGACTGACTGGTATTTCTAGGAATGCTACCTCTGTTACCTGCATTTTAGGGAGGGAATTTAAGCCCGTCTCTGTATATATGTGTTTGTATCTCTTGAGAATAAGAAGAGAAAAATGGCTGTGCTGTGTCAGGCCAGAGGCCCTGGCTTGGCAACCTGTATGTGAACATAACTGATTGTGGATGCCTAAGGAGAAATGAAAGAAACAGGAGATACATAGACTGAATTTGGCAGGCTGTCTCGGGATTTGGTAATTAGTAACTTGCAGATTTACTGTATCCAGACCACTCCATCTACAGGTCAATACTGCCTAATGCTCTGTATCTCTAGTTTATCAGTATTTGCCAATGGAAGGTCAGCTTGCTTGGGAACTGGAACCAAATTCCAGAGTAAACAAACCTTTAAACCAGCCTCCAAACCTTGGCATTTGAGAGTTTGTATTTGTTATCATAGTAGTGTTGAAATAGAGTTCCCTTGGTAGGAATGCTCAAATATCCTTATGACTGGAGCTCCCAGTTGTGACCAATAAACTGACAAAGGATCTCCACTACAGGAGACTGATACGTATTCAACAAATGCTGACCTCCTTACCACCTCGGTCCTGGAGATGGCTACAGAATTCCTGTGGACTTCACCAGTTTTCCAGTGCAGTTACTTTAAATAAATTCCCAGCTTGTTCTTTGCTGGGGAGTCCATATCTGCCATGGGTAAAAAGTGGCAGCAAGTTCCTGTGCTTCTGGTGGAAATCTGTATATTGACAGAATTGCTCAGACTAGTTAAACAGGACAGTACTAACATAATGACTCTACTTTTTAAAAAGAGACTTTCTGTGTAAGAGCTGCAGAGCAGTAGAGCAGAGCAGTACTCTGCAGAGGCATGAACTTGCTTCTGTTGCCTTGGCAGGTTGCCTCCTCTCAGGTGTTGCCTGTTGTCTCAGATCTTCCTTCGATGACACTGTTGGAGTCCATTTGCTGTATGTGTTATTTCATTTAAATTTCTATCCCTTTCTTTGTGATCTAGAAAGAATTTAGAAAGTATTTCCAGAAATAAAGGCTGATTTTTAAAATTTGTTTTTCCTTTCCCCTGATGAAGGAATCCACTAATCAGAGACAGTGAATTTTTTAATGCCAAAATCAACTTATCAGTGGTACTTTGAGGGACCATAGAGAGGAGCAAATGTTCATGAGGGATGAAAACACCACTGTGCTGTTCTCCTTGTGTGTTCCCTCCAATGTTCTGTTCATCAGTCACCCAGCTCGGAGGCATTGCTGCTCTGAAGACTAAAGGTGAGGAAAGGACTGTTCTGTTGTAGGTACATCAGTGTGGTTGTTGAAGAATATGCCATCTTTAATTTTTTTCCCCTGGTGGCTGCAGATAGAAGAAATGAGCTTTTCACCTTGCTTTGTGTATTGGTATGCACGTGTACTCATAAAGCCCAGAGAAGTACAGTATTCAAAATCATATCTCTACCTGTATATTCACTAGAAAACCAGTGGGATAAAGATGTCCTGCTTATCACATCCATTGTGGGATGAGGTTCAGATTGCTGAACTGTGAACGTCTCCAGCTCATTTAAGACACAGCAGCACCATGTGCTTAGAGAAAGCTTTGCTAAGGGTGTGTGGGAAATGGCAGGAGCTGGCTCATCGTTCAGACCTGTCCGAGCTGTGGAGCAGTCCGGAGGTCTCGGTGCGAGCTGCTTTGCACGGCTCTGGGGGGTCCTATGGAGAGCCTGGAGTGCTGGCTGGATTGAGCCGAGCGCCCTGGCCACCCAGGATACACCTGCACTGGCCACCCACAGCCTGTGACCGCTCTGGGAGTAACAGGATTCTTCTAGTAGACAGATTTGGTGGCCTTCACAACAGATGTAGCTCAAAATTTTTGACTCCTTAGTAACTGCAAATGCATTCGGAGCTTCCAGTTGCTGGGATCACCTGTATTTCCCCACCCAGTGTGTGGGTTTCCGACTTCCTATCTCTGTGGTATTTAAGTATTCTATGAATTTGGTGCCCACAGCTGCAAACTTAGAGCTTATTTAATGAGTGAAGCGTCAGGTGTTCAAACATCATTGGGCAGGATGGCTGCCCATGCTGCTAGCTAACGCTGTATCTAATATTTTTTCATCCATTTCCTGCAGCCAGCGAGTATGCACATGCTGTAAATGGGGACATGGAGGAAAAGGGACGTAAATTCTCATCAATGTTGTCTGTCAGACTGGATGTTCAGAGTCCTATGGCAGTGACTTGTCTTTTAATGCATGTACCCCACTTTTCAGTACACCACAGAGATGTTTCCAAAGCTTTAATTCAAGTGTAAGCAAAAAAAATATCCTTACAGTGTGCACTGGAACTACATCCAATGAGGCAATGATAAAGTGCCGAATTCCAAGATATTCACCTTTTGCCTGGAATTTATTTATGAATTTAGGTAAAGTGGCTGCCATTTATTTACTCACTGTATTCTCTGAAGGAGAAAACACTGGTCTTGTGTTTGTAGGCTCCTTGGTTTTGAGTCATCAGTGTTTAACTCATCTTGCAGGCTGTTAATGGATTAAAATAATGAGGAGGTATGGTAAAAGGAATTTGCTTTGTGTGTCTCATTGCAAATGCAGTAATAAATCAGCTTTGTTCTACAAGATGCTGAGCTCCCCTTAGGAAATGCTGACAGCATACTTATCTCCCTATACCTTACATGCACGCAGGAATGTGTTCCAGCTAAAGCGAAGCAGTGAGCTTGTTGATGTCATGTACGTTTGTTGCATAGTATTAAATACTGCTATCTGGCACTTCCCGCTGCTGATTTAATTAGCTCTCACAGCAAGGATGCTTTGGTCCAAAGCACCTTCCAGCTGTTTGGCTCGGAAACTGATAGTAAAAAGCCATGTGATTCTGTGCTAAGCCAAAAGTCCTTCTGAAAGGAAGGGTAGGAAATACAAACACTATTTTTTGCATAACAACTTGAAATTAATTGTTTTGTGGCAAATAAAAAAACTTCTTATACTTATTCAAACTTAGACCATGAACTTTGGCATCCTGTCCAGATTAGCGTTCCTAGAAATTTCTATAGTTTCAGGATCTCTTCTTCAAATAATAGATGACTTTTCCTCAAAATATATCTGTGCCCTATTTTGAAGTGTTGCTGGTGTGGGATTCCCAGTGAGTTCTTCCTCCAGAGCAGTGGAATCCAGTGTCATCTTTCACCTGTGTTACCCTGCATTAACAATGTTCCTTAGAACTTGTTGCAGCTTTTGGGAGTTCTCCACATTAACTCTAGACATCTGTGGGCCTCAGTTAGCTGTGGTATTTTTCTAGAACTCTTACTAAGGTACTTCTTTTTGCAAGGCCAGGGTTGCTTGTTTAAGCAGGAAGCAATGAGCTTCTGTACTGATGGTACTGAAGAATGGAGTATTCTTCAAAACAGTAAATTTGATTCTGCTTCTGGTTTTGTTTACGGTTGTTCCATTCTCCCTTCCTCAGAGCAGGTGCAATTCCTTATTTTTCTGCTAATTCCCTGCCAGAAATGGGAATGTTCATCCCTTTCTTTACTATTCAATCTGACCAGCAGCTTTGCTTGCTCTGTCTGCTTCTGGATTCTGCCATAGTTCTCAGTTACCCCATGAAAATATTTCCATTTCTGCTCTGAAGGGTCAAACTAGGCACAAGGGCAAGTTGGCAGAAGTTCAGAAAAAGTAAGTATTAGGTTGGAGGAAGCACAAGAATGCCCATAGGCCAAGTTAAGCCCTGAATTTCAGCAGCTCGAACCTGCTTGGTATAGGGAAGCTGTTGTGAGTTTTCAACACTTAAGTAATCTCTCTCTTGATTTAAGCTGATCTTAACTAGGATGAGTGGCTTTTACCGTTGGTCCATCTGCTTATTTCAAAGTTTTCAGTTCTGGTAATATTTATATTGTTAGCCAAACTATTGCCTGATGTACTTCTGTAATTTTTTTACTCCACTCTATTTATGTACATGTTTAGCTCAATATGTTTCACTGCTGTAATTCCTTTTAGGACTTAACAGGTTATTGCCCTCATGAAAGCCAGTCAGTTGTAGGACATACAAAGTACTACTTCTGCTTTGTAAAATATCGCAGAAAAGCACCCGCTTCATACAACTCTGCCTGTTGAGACTCCCAGTGAGGCCTGGGTCCCGTTTTGCTAGCCATTGTGTAAATACGTGATGCTAAAGCCCTGGCTCCCTCGCAAGCCGGGAGTTCAGCCCGTGCTGGATTACTCCGATCCGTGAGCCCGGTGCGTTTCGTTCGCAGGGCGCCAGCGCGAGCCGGCAGCTGCCGGGTGTGCTGCGGGGCGGCCGGCAGCGGTACCGCTCTGCTCGCCTTCGGCCAGCCCCGTCCCCGCCTGCAGGAGGGCAGAATTCTGCAGGTCCTACGAAGGTAACGTTTCCATAGGGAGTTTACCTGAATAATTATTTCAGGGTTGAGCCCCAAAGTAACACGTTCTGTTTAATCAAGCAACTTTTTCTGGCTTTTTGAATTGTGTATAACGCACTTCCAATGTATTGCTGTTGCGGTAGGATGTTATAATTCTTATTAACCCGGGCCTGAAAGTATCAGGAATTCAAACTGCTGTTGTGTTCCCACAGCAATGGTGAGTTTCCACTTACAATGACATGTTTAGAGGCTGAAATGGCACCTCTTAATGTTTTGGTCTTGCCTAGTGCATCTCCTTGGCCAGTCACAGAGCACTCTTCACAGGGAGTCGAACTACCATCCCTATTTTATAGGTAGAGAAATTAAGAACCAAGAGTGGAAAATGCTTTCCTGACACCAGTCCCCCTAGGACAGAGATGTTGCTGTGCCTCCCTTTCCCCTCTTTCCTTCCCTAGCTCTCCTCCCGTCTCACTCAATGGAGCATCACATCTTTGTTAGCTCTTGCTGTCTCCTTTTATTCTGCCTCAGGTAAACCAGATGCATTCTACCAAACATCAGTGTTCACCCTCATCATGGGAAGAAGACATGTGTGTTGGTTCTCAGCTTATGCTTTTGTTTTATTAAAGTAAACCAGCATCATTTTATGCTTATTCGTTGATACACCCTTGCTGGTGTTTCACCCTCAGTGTAACAGCATTCACACAGCATGGAATAAGCTAACTTCAATTTGTATGCATTTTGTGTAGCATCTGTAATAAAAATATCGGGGCTGAGAATTCAAGGTCTTAAAAAGAAGTGGGCGTGGTTAATGCTTGCTGTGGTTTCCTTTTTTTTTGTCTCTTGTAGCAGAGTTTTGCTGTGGTTTCTTTGTGATCCTGATCCTGGGCAACTTCTGGTTCCTCGCTGTTCTGTACCTGCTGTGGCTCTACCTCGACTGGGAAACGCCATGCACAGGGGGCAGACGGTCCCAGTGGGTCAGAAGCTGGACTGTTTGGAAGTACTTTAGGGAATACTTTCCCATTCACGTGAGTAAAACACTTCTCACAGAACTGTAAACATTGGAACAGAGACAACTTGAAGAGCCACAAGTGTGGACAAACATCTAAGACCCATCTTCGGTAAAATTCTAATACTCCAGAGTGAACTTAACTTCTTTTTAAAACATGGCAAGTCTGAGATTTAGTGACAAAAAGGGGCAGGGGCTGATTTTCTGCTTGGACTGTTGGGTCACAAGTTAGTGCCTCAGCACAGTAAATGCTAGACATGATGTCCTGAGGCACATCTATTTAAACTCTTTTCAGCTGTAAAATGGGACAGTAGCTTAAAGTGCTCAGAAGGAAATGAATTCTCATTGATTCTGTGTCTTGTCAATGTACAATCTCCATACTTGTTTTTGAGAATCCTTCTGAGGTAAGTGTTATAATATCCTCCACTGTCTATTTTTCAGCTTATAAAAACTTCAGATCTGAGTCCAAATCACAACTACTTACTTGGCTTTCACCCTCATGGGGTCCTGGTAGCTGGAGCCTTTGGAAACTTTTGCACCGGTCCAAGTTTCAAAAATTTATTTCCTGGGCTTACTCCATACCTTCATATCATGCCCATCTGGTTTGGCTGTCCCTTCTTCAGAGAATACATAATGAGTGCTGGTAGGTAAAAGCAGAATGTCTCAGCTGTTGCTCTGTATTACAGCTTCTGCTTCAAATGTAGGGTTTATTTCTGTACCTATAAGTGGTAAGTAATTTCACTTCAGAAGGATCAGCATTGGTGCTAAATTAAATCTCTGTTTTACGATAAACTGTTGTTGCAAAACATTTTGAAAGGTTTTATTAATAGTTTTGTTAACTGAGCTTTTTTTTCTGTTTTGAAAAAAATTGCTGGTTTTGCCTTGAACTATGAGACAGAAGTACTGAGTACCAGTTATTTACAAGAAGAGGAGGGCATATTACTTTATAACATTATTTAGTCACTGCACAGACACTTGTAAAACAAATTGAGGATGATCTCTCACCTGAAAGGCTTTGAGTCCTACTCATTACAAATATCTTTCTGGTTGGAAGTTAATTACCTACTTACGACTTAGGTCCCAGATTGCAAATTTCTGTAATTTTAATGGAGGTATAAACTCTAAAGACAGTAACTTTTTTAATCTGTTCTGAGCAGCACTTGTCATAAAGGGATGATATTCATGACTGGAACTGCAGTAATAAAAGATTACAATAACAAGCAATAAAGTTGTGGGAACAGAAGAATGTATAATGCAATCAGGACTGGTGTTCCCCTGCAGTGGTTTAATACAGGAGTTATTTCACTTAAATTGGTTAAACTAGAGCATTTGAGTAAGTACGGTCTGGTGCACAAGGCTATGTTTGGGAGACAAGAGACCTAGCCTTTATTCCTGACTGCAACACAGATGCTGTGATTTCAGATAAGGTATGCAGCTGTTTATTTCTAGAAACACACCTAGGATGTTGTTTAGATTAATAGCAGAATTGCATATCCATGTATACTTCAACATACCAGAGAATGCCCTTCCATGTAAATGTTATTTCTGAGGGGATTCTTTCAGGCTTCTAAACTTAAGGGAGTGGCAGTGGTGGAAGATGTCAGTTTTAAACATTGCCTAGCCTGGAAACCAGCTTTACATGTTTTTGGCATCTTGACCCACAGGAACAAATATTTACCTGCCAGATGAGAAACAACTTGAGTAAAAAGCATGCTAAAGAATAGTCAGCATTGTAGCTTGTTTTTCACAAGTACATAGATGATAAACCAGAGGGGTCCTTTGGTTTAATGTGGGTTATCAGTCAAATCATAAACCACTTGCAAAATCTTCCATGTAGTGGGAGCCATGCTCCTAGCACACTGTTTCATCTCCGAAGCCTGCCAGGCTGCAGTTACCACCGGGAGGGTCAGTTCTTGCAGGGCTGAGCTGCTGCGTGCCACAGCAGGGAGACAGATGTGTCCTGGGGAAAGACAGTGGCTCTCACTTTCTCTTCCAGAGAAATGCATGCCAGTGGGTGAACAAACATTGCTCGAATTACTTGTGAGACTCAGGTCAGCTGCGTTGTTCAGTGACTGAAGATATACATGGCAAATGCAGGTAGCTTTTTACTGAGGTCTGAACTTGCTCCAGTAGTAAGCTATTCCTCAACTCTCAAAACTAGATCACAATCATCTTCCCTTTCTTGTGAAATTTTTATAATCCATGTTGTAATGTCCCTAATGGGGAAAAAAAGAAAGCAGGTAACAGGAGATTAAGTATTTGCTTGGCATCCAAAAGAGCATGCTTTGATACTAGCCCTGTAAAAAAAGAAAAACAAACCCAACCAACCAAAAAAAAAACGCAGCACCAAACCAAAAAAAAAAACCCAAAGCCTCTCAAAAGGCATCACAAACTAGACTTGATCTCTAGATTGTCATTTAGACTCTATTGGTAAAACATAGTGTAGTTAAACATGGCTTCTGGGTAAATGGCGCCACTATGAGTCCCTGAAGTACAACTTGTGGCACAAAGGAACTCTGGAGGGGTCAGCTGCATATCTGTTAGAAAGGGGATTTTTCAAAGTGCCAAGTTCAGAGCAAGGTCTGAGTCAATGTTAAAGGCTCATACAGCAGCGTGCCTCTGATTAGAAGTATCAGGATCAGCAGGAGTACCAGGCAAGTTTCATATCTTCTGCTATTTTAGCCTAAATAGATTGATGAGTGCCAGGTCCTGGTTACCAGAGAATGAGCTGATGAGGTCATTTGGAATAGTACAAGTGAGCCTTTTCTGCCTCTTCTGACACTGTCATGCCATTGCCGTAGGTGGAGCTGCTGTTTTATATCTTTGAAAAGAATAAAGGGGGGGATCATCTTGGCACTGTAGGTCTGTGTTTGTGTTCACAAGTCCTCTATTCATTCTGTAAAACCCTCTGTGCCTGTGTTTATATACACCTGCTGTATGGCTTTACCTGCTGCCTCTCAACAGTATCTGCTGACATCCAACTCTTTTGTTCTTGGGCACAGAATCCCTCCGAGGGAGAGGTGAGTTGGCAGAAGAACACACTCTTTCCTGAAGATCTCAAAACTGTGATAGGCAAACAGCATTTAGCTCACCAGTGTGAAATCAAAGGACTTACCTAAGACCAAATCTGTTGCAGAGTGAAGGGGTTTAATCCAAATCTTTGAACGCTGTCCTGTGCTGTAATAATTTTGAAACATCATTTAGATATTTAAAACTGTTTCTTAAATTCCACTGTACTTGCACATGAAGAGCCAGCAGTCACTCTTAAAATGTTTGGTCCTGAAGGAATGGTTTCTGCATCCAAGGAGAGTGTCTCGTATGTGCTGAATAAGGAAGGAGGCGGCCATGCGTCCATCATTGTGATCGGAGGAGCAGAGGAATCTCTGAATGCACATCCTGGAAGTTTAACTTTGAACATCCTCAAGAGGAAGGGCTTTATTAAAATGGCCTTGAAACATGGGTAGGTTTCCCATCTGGGCTGTTATCGTAAGCATGCTATGAATACAAATTGATTCTTAAATATAGTTCATATTATATATAGTAAACAATATAATTAGAATTTGAAAGAGTTGCTTGTCTAAGAATGTGCAAATGTCTGGCACGGAAGCTAGTCTGTCCACCTAGATCCAATCTGGGAGTGTTGAAAACTCCCTTTGACTTTCATAATTTGTAAGCAGTAGGTGGTATTAGCCTATCTTGGTGTTTTGTTTCAGTTGTTTTTTGCACTAGCAAGGAGTAAGAATTATGAAACAATATTAATAAACCTTGGCTGTTATTGCTGAGTGGAGCAGACATTCTGTTTTATGTTCTGTAAATTACAGTTAGATAGAGTTTTCTTGCCATTCTAAGCAAAAAAAAAAAAAAAATAGAAAGCTAGGCCCTGTTTTATTAAATAACTGAAAACTGTGGTCCAGGAAGATTTCTTTTCACCTTTATTCTAAAGACTTTGTCTTGAGGATTGTTATTTACAAAAGTAAGTTTCTGGGAGTTTTTGGTGAAAATCTCAAGAAAAACTAGCTTTTTGCTACCTAACAGCCATCAGAGTGATCAGTGTGTAACTAAACAGAGATGTTATTAATATCTTTTGAGTGATTTACACAGTATAAGCTATTGTGTTTGTTCTGGACTGGTCTCAGTATCTTGTATACTAGAAATATTGGAACCAATGACTTACTCCTGCTAAGCTTTCTGAACAGCTCCCAGGAATATCTATTGACATGCGAAGCAATAATAATAAAAATAAATAAATAAATAAATGAATAAAAGGTTAGTCTTGAGAGATCCATAGTAGTTTTTTAAGCTATTAACTGGAAAAAAATGGTCTATGAGAAGAAGATTTCTGTGTTTTCACACAGGATGCTAGGGTCCATTTTCTCTATAAACTGTTATGTGTTAAAATTCCGAGAGGGTTTCTTTATACATATCACTAGGAGTCTCAAAAAGGATCTGTTCTCTGATAGAAAGTAACATTTTAATCTAATTTGCATTCAGAAACACTTGTGTATTTAAATTAGGACTTTAGTGCCTAAATGAGTCTTTATTCAATTTCTGCTCAACTGCTGATTAGTCCACTGGGATTCTAAACACTATCAGTAGCTTTTATTTTTTAACCATAAAGTTTAGAAGAATATTTAGGTGCACGTTTTATGAGCCTGTCCATAAATGTCTGATCTGTCAGATCACAAAGGTTGGTGTTTATCTCTAAACTGATTTGGATTGAGAAACTAGATACACCTGTGCCTCTCATGGCCTTGATTTCAAAAGCATCCCTAACACGCAACAACAAGATCAGGACACTTACAAAACACAGGAATGGCCAGTTCTTTTGTTATGAAGTTCTTTGCATCAAATGATGGTCCTCCTCTTTCTTAGGTTGTTCCTGGCTGTTTGGAGCCTTCCGGCAGGGTGGTAACGCCTGCCTCTGCCCGAGTGACTTGAAGCCTACGCCTTAGACGTGGTCACCTTAACCACCGGGCTACAAGTCATTCTGGGTCTGAGCACTGGCAAGAAAAACCACTTCTACATGAAGTGTGGGAATCCTGACTTCATTTCTATACAGCAGGGCTATGGGACAGTAGGACTCTCAACAGTTAGAGCTTTTGCAGCACTGTTAGCAGTCCTGAGCTCTTCCCCAAAGACTCTCTAACCATTAATTGCTTCTGGGTTTAACATTTTGGATCTAACAATTAACAAGACATGAAACAAGCTTCCAACTCAGGTGGAAATGAAAGGGTGAGGGAGTCTTGTGGGATGCGGATGGGAAGAACAACCTGCCATCAGTGCCTGCATACGTTTCTGGTGCTTGTCATCTGCAGCATCAAACACCAAGAGAGAAAGGGGCAGCGCGGAGACCAGGGGCAGTGCAGAGACCTGTGCTCTCTGGCCCAGGCTCCTGTACTGCCAACACGGAGAAGCTGTGGTTCCTCAGCTAGGAACTTGTTGAATGTGGTCTGAATGTGTCAGCAAAAGTCCTCTGCACTTCTGGAAAAGACACGTTGGCCCAAGGTAGTACAGAGATCTGATACGAAGTGAAGAAATCCTAAAGACATTAAACAAATGATGAATCAGCTAACTTATCTTTAGTTTCACAACTGTGAGTTATTTCTCTGTCTCAACCTCCTACATAGCATCTTGCAAAAGCCTTCACCAGATTAAAACAAATCCCATAGTCTCTGAGTGCTATTGCACCACAAGATGCTCCTGTTTGTCTTAGTGTTGTAGTAAAAAGTGGAGTATTTGCACAGCCACAGTATGCACCAGACTTTCTGATATTTGCTTTAGAGGTGGCTTGGTGATACAGGCTCTATTTGAGAAAGAACCTTTGAGCAGACACTGGTCAGAATAGTGAATGGGAATGATCATCTGTGGGGGTCCTCAGGCTTGAGAAGCAGTAGAAGTTGTTTTTTCCATACATGTGGGATTTGATTGTTCACAGTACTTCCCAGCCAGCTCTGTCCTCAGTGCATCCTCATCAGGTGTTCAGAGCTCTGCAGTAATTCATCCCGACAATATTATAGCAGTGCTGCTATTTTACAGTAAGATTTTTCTCAAAGATAGTGTGGGCTGAATGGAGCTAAGATATAGAAGATAAGTCTACAGTAAAGCAAATAAACCACCTCTGTAGCCTTCAGAGACTGTTTAGGATTACACCGCTATTTTTTCTTTAAACTCTGCAGAATACTATTTCATGAATCTAAGCATTAATCAAGCAGCATGCTGCAGTCAAGGTTTTAAATATAGTGGTGGTTTTGCCTGTTGGAGGCAACTGCACTGATTCCATCCACCTAAGTAGTTTGTCCAGGAGCTAGTCAGTGCCTTTCCTCCCAAGCTAATTCATGAACTAAATGAGAATTCATTAGGCTGTGCAGGAGCCAAAGTGAGTTAGTATAATTTCTGTGGGTAGGATTTGACCTCTGGTAATAATGCATTCAGGCTAGTGTTTTCAAAGAAGTCTGGAGGAAGCAGGATTTCACTGGGAATTGGACAGCAGAGGAGCTTGGCATTGCACTCATGTTTGTAAGGATGTCTGGTTTTTATCACGGCTTTTGGGCTGAAATCAAGTGTGTGCATTACTTCGGTCAAAAGGCAGAGGAACGCCAAGATCTGGTTTTGATGCCACCCAGCTGGGAGCATTATCAGGTTAGCAGTGAGGCTTCTTTGCTTGCCAAGAGAGCAAATGCAGTGGAACAAGGGTGGACTTGCTGAAATAGTGGTGGAGAAGATGATAATCATAATTATCATATATACAGTTACTCATTTTTAATGAGCATTCATAAAAAGTTGTGACGAGTATCAACCAGCTAAATACTGCCCAAAAGCTAGTTGCTAGTTATATGTCAATCACTTCTATTTTTTTAAAACCCAAAAAACCCAAAGCAGCTGCATATCAGAGGAGCTGAATGCCTGTAGCTGATGAAGTCTACAGCTGCTGAAGCTTTCTGTGCTCGTTACTGTAAAACTGTTTCCATGCTGCTGCTGTGAACCACAGTGCAAGTGCAGGCTGAGGTGGGATTCTCAGTGTGGTCATTGTTTTACAGGGCTCATCTGGTTCCAGTGTTTTCCTTTGGTGAAAATGAACTATTCAAGCAAGTTGCAAACCCCAAAGGTTCATGGCTCAGAAATGTACAGGAGAAGTTGCAAAAGATAATGGGCTTTGCTTTACCACTATTTCATGCTAGAGGAGTATTTCAATACAGTTTTGGTTTAATTCCTTACAGACAACCTATTCATACTGTTGGTAAGTTCCCTGTGCCTTTTCTAATGCTTTTGCAAATGCTTAAAAATGCATAAGGGTGCTACTAATATCTGTGTAAATTTATAAATTTGTTCTAACAGAAACAGTTGGTTACTGTGCATCAAAAGCAAGTATGTGAGGCTTAAAGTAAATATTTGCCTTTTTTCTTTATTTTTTTTTTTTAATTCCTGTCCTTCCCCATTTAAAAGGGATTCTTTTTCCCTTTCCCCTTTCTGTCCCAGGCCAAATCTTATTCTTCATTTGCAGTTATTCACAGGTTTCTATCCTCACCAATCCTCAAGGAAACCCAAGGGGTTGTCCAGTCTGTACCAGAGGGCTGCCACAGCTCTGCAGCTGTTGCTGCGGATTCTGGATGCTGCAGTTATTTTGTAAGGTGCCCAGCACCTTCATTTCTTAGGCCGGCAGACAAGCATTGACAGCATGCATGCCATGTTGACAGGCAGTTAGGAAGAGAGTTTTTTCCCTAAAAGCTTTCGTCCCTGGTCATCTGCTCTCACTGGAGTGTAAGACTGAATGTCTTTTGAATTTTTTAACGGCTTTAACTAGTACTGTTGACAACCACACCTTTAAAAAAAGTTGTGCTGGGAATCATGCAAAGGGAATAGCTGGCTGTCCATGTATTTTGAATAAATCATTTTTAGACGGGTTCTGAGCTGAGCGAACTAACGAAGTCTATTTCTACAGAAAAGTAAATTGAGCTTTTCTGGTATTCCACAAAGGACATTTAAGAAGGCCCTCCCTTTAATGGAGAGATGATTTGATTTTAGTATGGATCAAATAAAAATGTTTAAGACAAAATATAGCCCTTTTTATGTTAAATTTCACACGGTGCTCTGTCTTATCAGTGCATACAGTTAAGTGTTTTAGAAAAGATTTAATTTTGAAAGCCCACATTGTGCACAGGCAGGCAAAAAATGTCACTTATTTTAAAGCCAAAAAGTTTTCAAAGCGTTGGAATGAGAACAACGTATTTTCTGCAGTTTTTCCTTGGGCTGATGATACTGAGACTGTTCTGAAGCTTAAAATGTCTTTCACTTTTAGGCAAATTTTCATCATTGTAATATTTACTGCAGGGACAGAGGTGGTCCATGGCTAAAGCACAGGAGTGCTTCAAATCAGCAAGACTAGAATCTTGCAACAGAATTTGTTGTATGATCTCAAGAAATCCCCTTCCTTTGGTGTCTTTGTTCCCTCATTTTTGAAAACTATCACAATGTCCCTGCATTCTTGGTGGGGGGCATCTCAGTATGGCTCAACACCTCTTTGAAAGTGTTAGCTCAGCTCCTGAAAGCTGCAGATTTGCGCTGAGCTCCACCCGAGCCAGTTAACTGTGTTGACGAGGTGGCCGGGTATCAGCGAGTTCCCTCCTGGTTAAGAAGCCGAGGGTCCTAAAGCAAGGAGATGCAATTCAGCAAAACCGAAGCCTGTGAAGTCTGAGTGTTTTAGGCTTGATTAATGAAGTACTTTTGCTTTTCCTGAAAATTATTACTGCTTTTCAGAAATAGAATCAACTCTAAAATATCAAATTAAGCAGGTTGCTTAGAGCTGCACAGAAAATTAGAGGTATGAGTGTAGTTTCCAATTCCAGAAGAAATCTCTACTCTTAGAAGAGACTGATGCAGGAGGGCTTGGGGGTTGTTTGGTATTTCGAGTCATGCTTCTGGAAATCCCGGATTGGATGTATATTGATTTCACACCCCCTAAGGTATTGCTCCATCCAGGGCTGGGCTCCCATCCCTAGCCACGTAAAGTCTGAATTTCAGCACCCTGTAGGGCCCGAGAGCTGTTGGCAGCTAAAGCTGCCGCAGGAAAATGCCACATCAGTCCCTTTGTGGTTCTGGCTAGGCTTCCCTTCCCTTTTGTCAACACCATCCAATTTGAAGTGGCAACATATGTTGAAAGGGATTTTCAGGTGCCTTTTGTAAAAGCTCCTGGTGGGGTGCTTTTAACTCTCCGCTTTTCTACAGACTTCCTCTGTAATCTTGGTCCGGTCTGTTAAGCTCAGTGCCTCCAGTGCGAGAACAGCTGTCAAAATCTGTAGTGATAGAACGACACAAGGAAGACTGAGATCACAGAAAGCTTCTCTTAGCATATTGCAGGCTTTTTAGCCATGACTTTTTGCAGAGGAGGAGGCTGCCCTCTAGACTCTGTGGAATTACCTCCCGTGCTCCCTCTCGCTCTCACTCCAACAGAGCAGGTAGCAGGCTTTGTGCAGTGCCTGGAGAACATTTTGGTTGGAATTGTATTTGTGGGCAATGGGTAGTTCCGAGACACCTTACAGGGTTTGGGGGTTTTACATGCTACCACTCCCTAGGCTGAGGCAGCCAGCAACATTTCTGGCGCTGGTGCAGTGATCCCCATTTTGAATAAATCAGAAGATACCTGTATTTCCTTCAGTCCTGTTCGTGTGGCTGTGCGGTGGAGAGCACCACTGTCATCTTAGGCATGTCACTCATACTGGGTACCTTCAGTATTCAGATCAGAACAGAAAACGGTGAGAAGGTACACTTTTTTAAATGCTATTTTGAACTTGGGGAGTACAACCCCAGTGACAAGACAGCACATAGCCCGTGGGATTGTATGTTGAAGTGTAAACTGCTCCTTCAAGTTAGAGCTTAACCCCCTTCTAATTTGCTGGTTTGCTGCCAAACTGAAATGATGGGGTTTTAAAATTAATTTTATCTGAACTTGAGCAAAAGGAAGTGGAGAACCAGACCCAGGGCTCAGGTTTGTGAAAGGCAGGATCAGGCCCCAACGCAAGAGAATTGTGTTGTAGTTCTGTCACCTCGCTGGGAGCTGAGGTGGAACTGTTACAGGAGGGAGAGCATTTCTACTTAAAAAGAGACATCAGTGAAACTAATGCTGCTGTTGTGTTTGATTTACAGTGGGAAGCCCCATTCCTGTAAAACGGAACTTGAACCCCACCACAGAAGAGATTGAACAGCTACATGCATTGTATCTACAAAAACTAAGAAAATTATTTGAAGAACACAAAAGAAATTATGGGATCCCTGAACATAAATCTCTCATCTTTGAGTAGCAAATTACAATTTGTAATTCCAAATCTCATGGAAAAAAATGTATGCTGAAAGATGTCTTTCTTGCAATCTGTATTTTGCAATCTGTAATTATCCTTGGGTAAGGAATAATTTTAAGAAGGGATTATTAGATGATTTATTGACTTTTATCTTACTCTTGGGGAAGAAAGAAAGAAAAAAATCGTTAGGGTGTAAGCCTCGAAGCCAGTGCTGTTCTGAGTTGTCCTTTTAGGTTCATCCATACCAGAAATACTGGTGAGGGACTCCACACAGATGTTCCTACAACCATGGTACCTAATTATAGCATCAGCAGAGGAAGTTGCCCCAGAATGAGATCACTAGGAAGGAAAAGTATAAACCCGAGAAGTCTTTGATTAAAAGTTGAGAGATTTACCAGCATGTATCAAACATGACATCAGGTTGTTCTCTGAATACTAGAAAACCCTGCTGCTCTTCCATAGAAATGAAGGTGTATGTTTGCAATGGATGGCTATTATAAGCCATTTATACATGAATCCAAGAATAAATAGGAGCATTCTGCCCTGAATAAGGCAAAAGTGGTTTGTCCAAGTTACGGAGCAGAGCAAACCAAACCCTCTGTTTGGAGGAGAGAACTGTATTGAGTTTTGTGTGTGCATGTGTATGCTGGGTAGTGGGAAGCACTGAATGATGTGACTTTTTTGGACAAGCTGTGCTTTGGATCGCCAGACTGGAAGATGAAGCAGTTTTGTTTGGTAGTTCCAGCCTCATAGGAGCTGTCAGGCACAGGACGGGAGACGTGTACTGAGGAAGCTAGTGTGGGAATCATGTGAACTTTACATCTTGTGCAAATTAAAAATGATCGTGTGCCAAGCACTTCCACAGAAGCAAGGGGAACCCGGTTTGTTCAGTCTAGTTCTGAAACATCACCAGAGAGAGCATACTTGGTCTTTTTCTTTCCCACTGATAGATGTGGGCAAGTATGTAGAAGGCTCTGCCGTAGTGTGATGCAGTTGCAATTGCCAAGGCAGTGTGAGCAGAGGTCTAGGGTGCAGCAGGTTAAGAGGATGCTTTGTATACAAACTAGGTGCCTAAATCTGAGAGGCTTATCCTAAATGTGGATATCCATTTAAGAAAAGAAAAAAAATCTTAGCCAAACTCTTTTTCAGTTAAAATGTCTAGATCTTGGAGATAATGCTGTGTGAAGAGAATTATAGTGTATTATAGAATTTCTTACGAGATAAATCCTTGTATTTGTAAATGCTTTCTATCTGCACGTGGGCTTTGCAGATCTGTTTTTATCAAAGTGTTTGGTTTGTTTTAAGCAGTTTTGGTGCCTGAATATTAGGTGCTCTGATAGGACATGCACAGGCCTGTCAGGCAGCCTGGTGCTCCTGCAGCTGGGCCAGTTCAGCACTGGGGTGCTCCAGGAATAGCAGCATTGGCTCCACAAAGGCACTGGACACATTGTGTGCTGGGTGGGCTGGAATCTCCTTTAGAAGAAACACAGTTCGAACTTGGGGAAAAAGTTAAAAGTCTGGAAGGAAATAAAGAATCTTAGCAAGATGAAGGTCTTTAAAGAAAAGAGTGGAAATGTTTCGACTCCCATGAAGCGGACTTCTAATGAACCAGAGCCCCAAAGCCAAGTAAGTGTATGCCAGATAGAGTGGATGTATGTTGATTTGATGTGCTCCAAAAAAAACCTCTAGCAACAGGTTGGGGTTTTTTAGGAGACCTGTGCCTTCTAGTGCCCAGCTGTCATTCAGAGGTGACCAGCTCTGAGCCAGTGAATCCTGCTTTCGCTTTCTCTAGGATGACAGATGTCTTTCTGGGAGCCAGGGCTGGAATTTGTCATGCCTGAAGAAGTAGTCTGTCTTCCCTGACAGACTGCAGTCAGTGTGTCCACAATTCACCTCTACTCTACTTGAGCTTTCTTGCTGACACGTGTGCTTGCCCTCCCTTCCCATGCTTTTGCTTCCTGATAATCACTGTGGTGTAGACATCTTACTTCCTCACTCTCTGTCCATCTTCCCTGTGTTAACATCTCTGAAGGACTATGTATGCATACCAAATATTGAGTGGTGTCTTTTCATTCAGCAGATACAGGTTATAGGAGCAGGGCCTGAGAAGGGGAAGCACTGTGACTGCATGTTTAACATGAGCCTCAGATCAGGATTGCTTCAGCTCTTGGAGGGCCATGTGTCTAGGGAGGTCAAACACAGCAGGTTTGATACCTGGGAAGAGGTCTCTAGCGTTCCAGAGACTGTAGTAAGTGATGAGCCCTGAGTAGTTGTTTTTGCTTAACCAGCTGTGTGAAATTTCTTTTGGATTTGTTTTTTTGCTGCCTGCCCTGATGAGTAGTGCTGATTATTCATGGAAAAAGAATTTGGAGTTTGTGTCAGACTGTTCTCTCCTAGATCATCTGCTCTAATGAGATATTTCCTCTCATTCTCAGCCTGCTCTTTTCCCATTACCTTAATGATATAGAAGCTCAGGATGTAAACTCAAAAGCATTAGTGTTGGGTTGAGGATGGGAAGTAACAGTGGATCGTTGTTGATCAAATGAGCCAAAACTTTTAGGGAATATGTGGATGCTGATTTTGGGGCAATATCTGGTCCAGGGGGTACCCTACAAACAGGCTTATCTCTGAATTACATGAGAAAATGATTTGTGGGCTCTGAATACCATCCATAACTGGCACAGTTGGAACAAGGAGGGATTGTGTTACTCTGACTACTGAAATTTTCATTGCTTTGTAACACAAGAAGATGGAGAAAAAAAAGAAAAGCAGAATCTCCAAGCTGCTTAAATATATATTGTTGCTCGATAACTACTACGTATTGCTTATGATGGTCCTTCCAAACTACCTTTTATTAACAAATTGCCTAGTGTATCTAGGACTACAGAATATCAGTCTCTAAACCTGATAGGCATGGTGTCATCTAAAATATTTACCTCTGTGTTAGTATGTGGATTTGTAAAACAGCCCTGCAATACTGAGCTTAAAGGCCAGAGCCCTGGCAGCTGCAGAGCAGACCCGCTGTGGCTGGTGCAGGCGGCAGTCCTACCGTTGCTGCAGCCACGAGGAGCCTTCCCATGTTTGTCAGAGTGAGCATCAACGCAGCCTTCAGCTGCAGTTGGTGCTTGACAAAGCAAGAGCAAGCAGCTAGTAGGAACGGTGACACCCCCCTCCCCCAGCTGTGATTAGAAGAATGGGGTAGTGCTCAGATTTCTGGTGGGATGTCCACGCTTACCGGGGCCTGCTTTGTGGTGTGTTTCTCTTTGTGCCTTTTAATGACACAGGTAGTCCCAAGGAAGCGAGTCATCGATCAACAAGATAGATGCTCTGCCTCTATACCGTGTGAGCACTGCCTCGGCAATGTGCTCACGGTGACAGTGCCTGCCTGTTCCCTTGGGAGGAAACATCTCTGCCAGATTTTGTTGACAGAAAGTCAATCCTCAAGAATTTTTACTTTGTGAACTACAAAGCATATTTTACACTTCTTAGCTTTTTATGGTACCTGTAAAATATGAATGTCAGTTGTTTCAATGATAGCTGTGGCAAGGAGGTGTGAGGTAATAAAGGTTTGTACCAAACTGTGCTTGTGCTGCCTGGAATGCGTCACTGCTGCTGGGCAAGGGCCTCATCCCTCAGACCTCAGGAGCCTGACTGAACCGAAGAGGTCGTCTTAGGCTGTAAGGCCGTGGTCATAACATGCTAAGAAACCAGGGGGGCAGAGAAGATGGATGGATTGCTCGCTGCAGTCTCCCAGGGGATCGCCTGAAGCCAGGTTCCTGCTGGCAGTCCCCGAGGGGCTGAGGAAGAAAGAAGCGACCCACGGCAGGGAAGGGCCAGGCTGCAGCAGCCCACAGCCGGGGAGCAGTGCCAAGGGGGTGCAGCGGGGATGCCGGACCACGGCGGGGTGGGCGACTCCTCTGCGGAACTGGAGTTGAATTCAACTTACGTTTACGGAGAAGTTTGAATTTTAAGTGAAATTTGCACTGAGGGGTCCAAGTCTTGCTGTCTGTAGCCTAGAAAGAAGAACATACCCTGCTTCACACTAGGGACTGGGGAACTAAATAGCTGCTTGCAGTAAAAGAGTATTGCATTTGTCTGTTGGGAAGAGGAAAACCGGCCTCCTCAAAACAGTGATATATTTTAGGGTCTTTTAAAAGTATAGCAATGTTTATACTAATAGCTGCAGTGACAAGTATGAATTCCCAAGCCTGGAAAGGCTAATTGTGTTTTGTTACCATTTTCATTCTTTATGGAACAACCCCACCTTGCATCTCAGTATACTACAAAGGGGAAAAATGAATAAAAAGTGAAGTGGCCTTGGATTGCTTTGCAGTAGTCCATTATACCCACGTGTGTATAAATGGGAGGTGTGTCATAGTTTATCAATAGATTACCATCACATCCTGTTTTTGCTGAAATACTAAAAAGAAGCAATTTATACCCGTCAAATCAAGAAATTGAGAAAAAATAGGAATGGAGAGCACCTGAATCTTCATGTTTCTCAAAGTGCTGCAGCTACATTCATCCTGATCATGACTGCTTGTGATAGGTAAGTGATGTTGCCTCCTTATCCAAGTAGGTGACTCTGGAGGGAATCGGGTGGCGTGAAGGATGTAGATGGTTTTTCAGCCGATGTTTCTTAAGTTTGGTATCAAGTTCATGCCAGGTGAACTGCTGGAGCAGTACCTGTACTGCAGATCCCTGCAGTCCCTCATCTTTTTTCAGCTTAACAGTCAGGATAGAGCTGTAGAAAATGAAGCAGAGAAGAGAAGAAAGAGGAAATTTGTTTATGTAATGTAGTCATATACAGGAGAAATCTATCCGTCTAAAAAAGTAGCCAAAAAAAAGGTGAGGAACCATATCCTTTATGGGTGCCTTCCATACCCTACAGTGAGTGTCACAAATTGCACACGCTTGGGAAGAGCTTTTTGCAGTGCAAAGAGGAAGAGGTTCCTGGAAAGCGTGTTGGGATCAAGAAATACTTGTTGCCTTTGTAGACTCAGTTTGGCCGACATCTAACCTGGGTTCTTTTCCGTCTTGGACAGTAGTGACAATTACAGCTGTTAGCCAAATGTTCTGCTCATGCAATTTACTTTCCGTCAAATTTCCTACTGACATGAATGGAACCCTGTTGTTTTTTTGAATGGCTATGATGAAATTTAATAAACAGACCAAGAAAGATCCCAGCAAGTTGGCTGTGAGCGTTTTTTGGCTAATATGAATCAACAGTGGTCTAATCTTTTCCTTCTGCAGTCAGCAAGCAGCATTCAAATACAGAGAACAGGGTCGTTGACTGGAAAGCTGCCATTCTATTTGTAGAACAGACTGTCCTGTAAAGGAATGAATTGTAGTGTTTTCCTGGGGAAGTTGCTTAGGACTAATTCTTAGACATAGAAATATGGGCATGTATGTGCTTTAAAATGCATTGAATGCATGTATTTGTTGCTAAAATTTGTGCTGCTTCTCTAAATTTGTTTGCTGTGTATGTACAAAGTCAAACTATTTTTTCTATTTAAAGCAAGCTTTTTTTTTTCATTATTTTTTTCCCCAGATTACTACTGCCCAGTAGAGGCCTGTTTAACCAAAGAGCCCCGTTAAAGGAGGGCAGCCCGGGCGCCCTGTGCCGCTGTGGTTCCCGCAGCAGCCGAGGAGCAGGCCGGGCTGAGCACGGCTTACCACCGCGAGTAACTGACGCGGGACTTCGGTCCAGCGCTGCAAAAACACGTGTCAGGGGAGGACGTTACTCACTAACCCGCGGGGGACCGGGGCTGGGGGCCCGGGGGCTCGGGGCCCGGCCCGGCTCCGGCTGCAGGAGCGGGCGCAGCGTCCCGGGGGGCTGCGGGCGGCTCCCGCTCGCCGCCTCACCAGCTCGATACTCCCGTGCTGCGACCCGGGGACTGGCTGCGTGAGCTTAGATAAGCGCGGGCCTAAGGCTCTGCCGCCGAAAAGTAGCTGAAAGTAGCTGCTTTTTTTTTTTTTTTTTTTTTTTTTTTTTTTTTTTTTTTTGGCGGGGGGGGCACTGTTGCCTTTTTTTTTAGCGGTTTCAAGAAAGGTACGAAGCTCCGGGCAGCGTGGGATGGAGCTGCGCCGGCGGCTCTGCCGGCTCCCGCACTGTCTGTGGGGGCTCGGCGGGCCCGGGCGGGGCCGGGCGGGGCGGTACCGGGTCCCGCTGCCGCTGGGGCACCGCGGGCGTCACCCGACTGCGCCGCCAGGTGGCGCCGCCGCGCCGCGCCCGGGGACGGGGGGGGGGGGGGGGGCGGCCCGTAGCCCCGGGCGGCCCGTAGCCCCGGGCGGCCCGTAGCCCCGGGCGGCCCGTAGCCCCGGGCGGCCCGTAGCCCCGGGCGGCCCGTAGCCCCGGGCGGCGGGGTCTGGGAGGGCTGCAGGGGGGTGTGCGGCACCGGCAGCCCCTTTCCCCGCGGCAGGGCACAGCGGGGAGCCCGCGCGCCCGGTGGGGTGGGGGGTGGGTCCCGGCTCCCGTCGCCGGGCGCCCCGGAGGAGAGCGGGACGTTTGCACGGCCGTGCCGCTGCCGGCCTGCAGCCTGCCTCGAAGCCGCGGATTTTACCGGCGCGGAAACGCCGCAGGCGATTAACTGTAACGGCGCGTCCCCCTCCGGGCACTGGGGAGCGGGCGGGGGGGGGTGCCCTGGCTGTAGCCGCGGCGCGGGGGTCGCGGTGCTGCCCCGAGGGATCCTCGCAGGGGCCTTCCCGGCGTGGAGTTTGAGGTGTGTGCGAGGCAGGTTTGCAGAAGCGGCCACTGCAGAAGCTCCAAGTGAGGCCAATCTAAAGTGTGACGCCTCCGAATCTGTGGAAATAAAGACCTGGCAGTCAGGCTTTTCTTAAGAGCCCAGTTTTGTGGGTGTTCCAACATTATTGAACACATTTCCAAAACGGTGTTGAATTTTGGTTTTAACCTGGTTACTCAAGTTCGTGTAAGTATTCTGGGGTGCTGAGGCTAGCCAACGACCAGTCCGCAGTACCCAGGGGGGTGCACTGAGTCTTTGCCTCCTGAGCGCTCAGGACTTGCGTGTTTGTGTTCCTGTGCTGAGGAAGGTGCTTCTGCTCAAATGCCTCTGTTCCCTGCTGCTATCTTACCTTCTATCTTTTTTTCCTTCTGGTTCAGTGTTTTGCCTGAAAAATTTTTCTCTCTCTGTGACTTTGTAGCTTGACATTTTTGTTGCTGGAGCTGGGAGGAGGAAAGAAGGCAAAGAAAAGGTAACACAACTGTTGCTGCTCCGGAAGCTATTTGAAATATATCATCACTTTTTAATCTTCAACAAAAAGAAGAAAAGACCCTGTGAAAAAAACATTAAATATTCTCAAATTGGAAACTTGTTTATGTTATGGCAGAGTTTATTTTTCAGTATGTTTATCCTTTTGAGCCTCCTTCTCAACCCCCAACCTGCTGTCCTGTACTTGCCTCGTTGTCTGTGAGGGATGCTTTTGCCTTCCTCATTCGCAGATTTCAGTTCCAGTGCTGTGAGAAGCGAGTGACTTGGCTAATGACTGACCAATCTGTTTGCCTGCCTTCCCTTCCTGTGAAGTCAGAGGTGACCTCCCTCCTTGTTTGGATACCTGCTGTCCTTGGGACAAGCAGCAAGAAGCGGGGTGCCTGGCACCTGAGATGCTGCAGGTCTTGCCGTGGTGGCTGGGCTGTCACCCTCCCACCGCCTGCCCCACCTCCCCGATGGACGTCAGCGCTCCCTTAGCAGAGCTGGTAGGACAGGGTGCGTGTCCACACCTCAGCCTGGCACCTTACCTCGAGCCTTCATGGAAACTCAGGCCGGCAGCAGCTAGCAGAGGCGCGAGGAAGAGGAAGGTGTGGGCAGGGATGTGTCCCTGGTTGCTGCCAGGACTTCTGCCTGTTCACTGGGAGCATCATCCCGGGGGAGCACCACTGCGATGCCACACGTGGGGGGCACGGCTGGCAGATTTACAAGGAACCTGCTTCAGCTTGAGGTAGATGGCTGCTGATTTAAGAGAAGCTTTTCTCCACCCTCAGGCATCGGGGCTAACAGCCGAAGCATGCTGTGCAAAGTTAAAAGTTTCTAGACACTTGTTAATCTTTTAATCTCACATCTCTTTAGCTTGCAAAATCTCATTTTTAGAATACAAAAATACTTCGATGTCACTTAGAGTAGTAAAGGCTTTTAAAAACATGGAAGTTGAGTGTCCTGGGCCTTGACTCTCAGCCAGCAGGAGACAGCCTTATCACACATTCTGTCATTACTTCCATCAAACAAAAGTTCTGTCACCTATGAACCAGAGAGAGAAAAGTCTGTAATTCGACCATAAAATCTGCTGAGGTGGAAAATATTTGCCTAACTGTCATATAATGCATGGGTGGAGGAAATGGGCGTTATTACTGTAGCTCGGTAACCAGTGCTGTCGTATGAAATGCTGTAGTCCTGGCTACCACTTACAAATCAAGATAACCAGTATTATTTACCCCTCCAGAACAGGAAAAGCATTGTTGGAAATCCTGAAATATTACATGCCATTAATTTCTGGAATGAGCCATCTGAACACATTGTGTTTGCACTCTTTTGGGGAATAAGCAGGCCCTGTGTGAACACACATT